AAGCTTTTCAGCTTGTCGGAGAACACCGTGAGTCTACTCTCTTTTACACGCACACGCACACACACACACACACACACAGAGAGAGAGAGAGACAGAGAGACAGAGAGAGAAGGGAAGGGAAGACAAGTGCCCCCCCCTCTCTCCAAATGGCGGATGAGTCTGGGAGCCACAGGGGAAGGCTCAAAGAGCCACATGTGGCTCCGGAGCCGCAGGTTGCCAACCTGTGGCTTAGTCCTTGTAACCGTATTAAAAGCTGTCTTGAGATCTATAAAGGTGGTGTATAATGATACAGTTCTATTTGATACATATTTTTCAATCAAATGTTGAATAACTAAGCACTGATCTATGGTGCCTTTCCCTTCTCTAAACCCGGCTTGTTCTTCAACAATCAGTTTCTCAAGATCCAGCCATTTCTTTAATTTATCTTGGAGGTGTTTGGAATAGAGTTTCCTGATTATATTTAGCAGACATATTGGTCTGTAATTGGTAGGGTCATCTCTCTTTCCCTTTTTATAAATTGGGGCCACAGTTGCCAAGCCCCAAGCCTCTGGGACATGGCCACTGGGTCAATATAGGTGAATAGCGCTGCCAGGATGGGTATCCACCACTTCATGTTGTTCTTTAGTAATTCAGCCAAAATGAAGTCAGCTCCTGGAAACTTTCTGATCCTGAGTTGGCCAATGAGGGATTTAATTTCAGACTCTGAAACTGGAGCTCATTCAGGTAAATCCTTCATTGTATATCTTGTACTCTTGCTGGATGGGTCTTCATACATTCTCTGAAAGTGAAGTTCAAGTTCAAGTTCTAGGAGATATATGGCAGTATAATGGGGTATAGATTCTTTCAGAGTAGCAAGCTATTAGATGCCAGAATAAAGAAGAGTTCTTTTGCTTTGCTGCCACAATGAGCTGTTCCCAGGAAGACCTTGTGTCTTGTCTCTTCTTGAGTGCAAACAATTGCTTAAATTGTTTTTGGAGTGTGAGTAACTGTTTAAGAATTGCTTTACTGTCATATCCATTCTCACTTTTGTACTCCTTGTATGCCATGGTAAGAGCTTTCTTGACTTCTACACAATCTTTATCAAACCATCATTTGGAGGCAATGCAGGGCCTCTTAACTGAGAAATTTTGGTCATGTGCTAGTAATGGTTGTAGCTCATAAACTAAGCTTTTATATAGTTCTAATAAGTCTTGAGTCAGGTTCGTTGATATAAAGTCTGTACGGATATTTTTGAAAATTATCCTCTGTTAGGGCTCTCCTCACCTTCTGATCAAGTTGTTGGGTCCATTTTACCTGACATCTTGTTAGGCCTGCTGTAGAGATTGCAGGGATAAAACGGTCCTTGGAAGGTATCTGCCAGATAAAGGGCTTCATGTGTATACACAGTGGTAGATGATCACTTTCTAGGTATGGCAGAACTTCAAAATTTTCTATATAATGTAGTAACTCCATAGAAGTTAAGATATGGTGGTGCTAGTTTGGTCCCTGTCATAAATGTAAACTCACCAGGGTAGTCGCCAGCCCATGAGCCATTAGATATGAAAAAGGTAAATTTATTAGCCAACTTTGCAAGACAGAGGCCAGCATAATTAGCTCTAATGAGAGTCGTATGAAGGAGATGCTGGTTTGTATAGGAACCTCTGATGGTGGGTACTGATTATATTTCATAAATAACGTATAATCATCTGGTCCCAATCTAGCATTACAATCTCCCCCTAGTAGGACCCTGGCATTTGGGTGTTCCATGACTTGTTTATTAACATAGTGTTCCAACTCCAGCCATACAGCAGTGGTTTCAGCTTTTCTTAGTGAAGGAGGGAGATAAACATTAATTATTAAAAGCAAGACCGAGTCCAACTTGAGAAGAAGGGCCATAGCTGTATGTTTTAAAGGGGTGATGTGTGGGCTCTGCTCTCAAGTTGCTAGAAATAAATATATCCAGCCCTCCTTTCAGTCTCCCTGGGCCTCTACCTGGCCTTGCTTCTACCTTATATGAATGACAGCCATTAAGCAGGAGATCATCAACAGTCCAAGTCTCTTGCACTAATATAATATCCTTATCTATCAGAGGATCAGAGTAATTAAGGCCTCTAAATCGATATTACCCAGCTACGTTCCATGACATGATGTTTAAAGTATTTTTCTTGCACTGGCCTTTGTATAATCAGTTCATGTTCTCAGTAGGAGCACTCGTTGGAAGACAGTAATAATAATAATTGTTATTTGATGCATTTAACCAAGAATTAGGCAAGTTGTGCGAGACTATGGGGACATCATCTATAACAGCAAATTGAGCCCCATCATTTATGTGGGGAAGGAAGCATGCCTCTGTCTCTGCCTCTGGAGCAGAGAGTCTTCACCTTTCTCAGCAGAATCCCCATCTAGAACTCATATAGATTTATGTCCATTTTTGGGGGGTGCAGTTGGGGGTTCATCTTGTGAGGGAATATTAAAGGCACTTTTGACTCAAGTGAAGGTGGAAGATGGATAGTATCCTTAGAGTCTGCATGCTTAGAGGGTGCTGAATGCTGGAACAGGTTTTTTTTGCTGTTTATCAGGGTCTGAGTAAGTCAGTATACTTACCCCACTGTCAGCCTGAGTAACAATACTTTTTTTTACAATTGAAGAAACTGTAAGTGGTTGGATAACTATATTGCCACAAATCTGAGCATTTGGTGAAGCCAAATTAAATAGAGGCTTTGCTGTAGATTGAGTTTATGTCAATGCTTTTTTTAAATCGTCCAGTCTCTGAGTATTATTAGCTTGCTCAGATTCTGGCAATACACCGATAAAGTCTATCAACATTTCTTCTGGCATGTTCTCAGCAGATGCAGTAACTGTGGATAACTCAGTTTGTGGATCACTTCTCTGCTTTCTCAAGGTTGATTCAGCTGCCACTGCTTCAAGCTTATCAGTATGAGGTCTGTTGCTGCTTGAATGTAAAGCAATAGTTCCCTATTGCTTTACATTCAAGTAAAGCAATAGGGAACTATTGCTTTACTTGAATGATCCAGGAGTGGGCACACTTTCTCTGAGCAGAAGACATGTATTGGAAATATTGAAAAACTGCTCAGGAAGGGCTTCATTCTAAAAAGCATTGAAGGAATTATGGACTGCTTGAAAGATAACAAAATTTGCATATATTGCCTTCTTGCTGGCAACCATTCTGTGTGTAGTAAATCTATCATAGTGTACTTGTAGCGGAGCAGCTGGCTCAGAGACAGACTAACAGCTTGTCTATCACTCCAGTGCCCTCTATTCCTTCTGTTGTTGTAAATTTGCAAGGTAACCTGGTTGGTCTGCAAACTGAAGTTATAATGGTCACCTCTTGAACTATCTGATTGAGTGTTGTTTTCTTTGTAGGTATTCTTTCCTCTCACGTTTTTAGAAGGGAGAGAAGGATCTGTTCTAGTTTCCATTTCTGTATTAGTCATCTCATGTCTATCATTAGATGTCCTCCTGGGTCCTTCTGCAATGTTTGGGTGACTTGTAATAAACTTTGCAAAAGACTCTTTCAAGCAGTCAACCTTATTTGTGACAGTTGATAAAAGCATTGAATTTACAATTTGAGCTGTAAGCAAACATTGTCTGAAAAGGAGATCTATGGCATTCTCCCTTTATAAATTTGTTACTATCCCATCCTGTGCAAGGAAAGTGGGTGCTGAGTTCCAAGGAGGGGAGATAATTTCTGTGAGAGAACAGAAAGTTCTATAATGTTGTTTGCTTTCAAGTTTGGTTTGTAAATCCCATTCCAATGAGTCACATCTTCGATTTTCTGCTGTTTCAGTGGCTTGGAAGAATTCTGTGCTGCCGTGTGAACATGCTGTCTCTTTCTCCTTTTTCCTATTCTTGAAAAATCCTGAGTTCAATGGTATATTGTTATTCTCAGACCAGGAGAAAAGAAATGTTGAAGGGGAACTCATTAAATCTGCAGATGACACTAAGTTGGCAGGAATACCCAACACACCAGAAGACAAGTTCAGGATCCCCAAAGATCTTGACAGACTTGAACAATTGGCCCTATCCAACAAAATGAATTTTAATATGGAGAAAAGCAAAGATTTACATTTAGGCAGGAAAAACCAAAGGTATAAGTATGGACTAGGTGAGATTTGGCTGAAAAACTGTAACTGTGACAGGGACCTTGGAGTCCTAGTACAGTATATGATCACTTAAATATGAGCCAGCAGCATGTGGTAGCAGCCAAAAAAGCTAATACTATCCTGGGTTGTATAAACAGAGGCATAGAATCAAAATCACATGAAGTATTAGTACCACTTTATAAAACCTTAGTAAGACCACACCTGGAATACTGCAACTAATTTTGGTCACCATGCTACAAAAAAGGATGTTGAGACTAAGATGATCAAAGGCCTGGAGACTAAAACATATGAAGAATGGTTGCAGGATTTGGGTTTGGCTAGTCTAGAGAAGAGAAGGACTAGGGGTAACATGATAGCAGTATTCCAATATTTGAGGGGCTGCCACAGAGAAGAGGGGGTCAAATTATTCTCCAAAGCACCAGAAAGCAGGACAAGAAACAACATTTGGAAACTGAACAAAGAGAGAAGCAACCTAGAATTAGGGAGAAACTTCCTAACAGTGAGGACAATTAACCAGTGGAACAGCTTGCCTTCAGAAACCATGCATGCTTCATCACTTGATGTTTTTAAGAATAGATTAGACAGCCACTTGTCTGAAATGGTATAGGTTCTCCTGCTTGAGCAGGTGGCTGGATTAGAAGACCTCCAAGGTTCCTTCCAGCTCTATTCTGTTCTGTTCTGTTCTAGGTACTTAGATCTTTTCTAGTAGAGATAGATATAAACAATTCAATCTCAGTAAGGAGCTTTAAAGCAGAACTTTAACTACAAAATCAAGAAGAAGATTATCCATACTATGTATTCATTTTACATTTGAAAGCTATCAGTATCTTTGGTTCTGAATTCTAAATTATTGTCCTCTGATATTACGAAGAAAGTTTTCAATTTTCTGTTACTCACCACAGTATGGTGCTGATGCAGCTGTGGCCAAGTAAACTTTAACCTCTCTAGGCAATGTTTTCATGTTGAGTCCTCCATTATCCAAAAGTCCTAAATTAATATTATAATACAGAAGAAAACTGAATTTCATGGTGCATAAGTAAAAAGTGAACATGCCGTTAGTACTGGGTATTGAATATGAGATTTTGTAGGTCTCACTTTTCATTTAAATAATAAAATTAGGTTTGAAGAGGGAAAACTTAAATGTTTGAATCAGGTGAAATTCAAAGTGTGCAAGGTAAAGGCAGCATCTGTATCCTTTTCCTCCTATCCATTAATTATACCAGCTATAGCAGGGCTTTTCAACCAGTGGTACGGGTACCACCTGTGGTACATTGGCACCTGGCAGATGGTACGTGACCATCCTAGAAAAGTGGTAGCAGGGGAGGGTAAGGAGCTGAACTGGTGGCAGCACTGCACAAGCCTGAGTGAGAGATGGGTGGAGCTGCAGGGCTGTCAGGGCTCAGCGGAAGCGCCAGGATCAGTGCCAGGCTCCAACTGGAGCTCGATGCTGATCCTGGTGCTTCTGCTGAGCCCTGAAGAAACACCAATCAGCTGGAAAGCAGCACTAATCCTGGCACTTCTGCTGAGCCCAGAAGAAGCGCCAATCAGCTGGAATGTTGCAGCATCTCCAGGGTCTTATGATTTACATTCAGATGCTTGGCAACTGATTCATATTTATGATGGTCACAGTGTCCCAGGGTCATGTGAAGTGACCAAAACCTGCTGCAACCACCCAGCAGATGGGGGGGGAACCAAACACCCCCACCCCACCCCCGCTGCCAATCCTCAACAGAAATGCTCACAACAATGAAAACATTGGACAGGAGGAAGAGCGCCGCCGGGCGGGCAGGCAGGTGTCTTGCTTGGCTGTGGCTTGGGGGGCACTTTTTCAGTGCCATTGTAACTTTGAACAGTCATTAAGCGAACTGTTGTAAGTCGAGGACTACCTGTAATTTATCACTTTTTTCCTTTTTTTTTTTTTTTGATCATCAAGTTTTTGACACCTTGCTAGGCCACTGGTAGTACTCGGATGTTGCCATATCTTAAAAGTGGTACAATGGGTGAGAAGGTTGAAAAGCCCTGAGTTATAGCATTGACTCTTAGAAGAATTCACACATAGGATATTTCTCTTCCAGTAGGGGCAAGCAATATCCTGTGTGCTGTGAGTCAAAATGCAGGGTCTAAGGGCCTAGGCCTTTCAGGAAGCTATTTGAGGATGTGGTGAAATCACTAGAAAACAGCAGGGACCAATCTCAGGGAGACAGTTTCAGAAATGAGAGAGTTAATTATGACAATGGGAGCAGACTCTTTTGTAAACTAGATAATTTCCATTTCTACCTTTTAACTCCCCCCCCCCGTCAAATCTGAAAAAGGGTTGGGAATGTTAAATTGGGAATGTTAAGGGTCAAAATGGGGAACAGTATGTTTCTACAAGTTTTCTTTTTACAACCGCACTCTTAATTTGAAAAAAAAAAGAGCACTGAAGAAGTTTTTCTTAAGTTATGCTTAAAGTTGGAACCTCAACTAAGACCCAGTTTGTAAGATCTATTTTGATTTTTACTAGAAACCTAAAGTCTGCTACTGTAAAGTAAGTATCACTTTCCTTGGTGCTGAGTTTAAGTGCTCTTCACCCATCCTTGACTGGCAGATACTTATATTGGCATGAAATCTGCTTTCTCATATAAAATGTTGTTCTTATTGCTTATCTTTATCCTCCTTCCATTTCCTCTGTTTTCAGTCTCTGTCAGTCTCCTATCTTCCTTTTAAGATAATGAATGACAAAGTCTTGATATTTAGAAGCACCTTGAAGCTGTCAGATAGCAGGGGAACACTATTTTAACACTGAAATAGCACATGACAACTTAAACCACTCTTGTATGGGCTATGAATGAGATACAGCAGGGATATCCACAGAGTATAATTTAAAAAATCGAGATGGTGGCCATGATTTTGTAATCAAAGCTCTATCTGATTTTTAGGTGTATTGCACATTAAAATGGGTAAAGCTTCAATCACAGCCTTGTAGCTGATCTCTTATTCTTTTTTATCATGCCTATACAGTATACACCTCTGAGATGAAGGCAATGTCATGGGGAGAAAGTTGGAAAAAAATATATGCTGCTTTAGCATATTTGTAGTATTGGAGTTCTGTGCAAGTAAGTCAAGGTCTTAGAAGATATACTCATTTTTTAAACACAATAGGCAGCATAACTACCCTATTTTAATTGCCATCTACATTATCCTCGTCTCAGTTCCAGTCCATGTTTTCTGCAGACTTAATGTGTAACTTTCATGCCATTAAACACAGGCAGCGGATAGATAAGAGAGTGGGAACAATTCATTGTTGTCTTTGCAGCTTTTTCTGTTGTCATAGCAAAACCTCTATTCCAAAATTTGGTACGGTAGAAAAACTCTAGGAATCTGTTTTGAATCTTAGGATTGGACTGAGTTCTTCAATATGAAAATAGGTTCCTACTCTTCTCCCTCCCCCCCCCATGTAAGTATGGATAGTTCATTCTTTCTTTTTCCTATTCCTTTTTTTAAAAAATAAATGAGGGAATGGGAACAAAATGGCTTTATTACTGCTACAGTCTGATTTACTGTGTACATACTTGGAAAGTAAACAGCAAACTCTGCTGCGGAGTTGGAATCAAATGTTTCAACAACTTACATTTTAGAATTGTTCAGATTTGGGGTATGCAAGTTTCAACTTTGACAGAATTTTCAATAAAATATTATGTCCTCAACAGAGACTTTGATTTCATTTATCATTTAATGGGAAACACATTTCTCACTGAAGATGGAAGGCCTGCCATATCCTGACTCCATTCACATTCCAAATTTTCAAAGTTTAGATTTTGAGATCACTGGAGAAGTAACATACCTAATGTGGGACAGGAGAGCAAGAAAGGATCGAAGCAATCTAAACAGTGACCAGCTAAGAAATTCTTATAACTGGAGCAAGGGAAAGCCATCATTGGACAGGAATCTTTCAAGACACTGATGTAGAAATGCACAGCTCTCATATGGTCACAGATCAGGTACTGGTAGCCTGGAAAGGGAAAGAGACGGAGCATATGAAACTGCGTATCAGTCATCATCTTGGTGGATGATGCCATGTCTCATTATTTTTAATTTTTTTGTTGGCCATCAAAATATAAATCTGATTACAGTTTTGCTATTTTTTTAAAAAAATAAGTTAATTGGCATAACAATTGAAAAGTAATAAAAAGGGGGAAATGGTCTGGCAATGGGGAAGGTGGGTTATTGGTGACGGCTTGCAACTCCTTGGACTAATTCCTGGAGTTTTCATGGCAAGGTGTTTTTTTTTCCAAAATGGGTTGCCTGCTTTTTAGAGAGAATGACTGACCCAAAATCACCCAGCTGGTTATGTGCCTTATGTTCTCAGAGTTTCTGGCCTGATGCCTAAACCAGTACATCAAATAGTCCTCTGTGGAAATGTATAGGAATCTTTTCTTAAAAAATGGTCCAAATTGGATGAAATGTGTAGGGCTGAAAGACCTGAGAACAAGATCCCCTTCCCCCTTTTCCAGGAGAGGCAGACAAAGGCATGGAAAACAGAGGATAAGAAAAGGGGAAGTAGAATGGGGGGGGGGGGTTTAGCTTGCAGACAGAGTTTGAAAAAGCATTAATACCGTGGTGGTTAAAGAAAGATAGGCAAACAAAATGAGGAAATCACAGATGAGGACAAAAGAAAGCTGGATTCTGGTAAAAGAACATAAATGAAAGGTCTCACTTCTGAACTGAACATTTGCAACATGTTAGAACTTAAGGACCTACAACTTGAAAAATGCTGGTCATGTTTCAGGAAAAGGATAGACAGATAAAATCCATTTACAACACATACAGTAAATGAAAGGGTGAAACTTTTCCAGCAGGTGAACTTAAAACATTCCCTCCTGGTAACTTTGAGCTGTTCTTAAGAGTACAGAGAGAGAAAGGGAGAAGAAAGAAAAAACAAACAAATACATTTTTCTTCACTCTGTTTGTTGGCCAGACAAACAGAGTGAGGGTATTTTCCTTTTGGTGGCTTATTTTAAGCAGAATTTTAAAATTCTTTTCTCTTTGGATTAGAGACAATTAACAGTCACATTTGCCTCACACACAAAGACTTTGACACACATATATACACAAAGACAATGAAAAGAGAACAGAAAAGGGAAACAGAAATCTTAGTTTTACATATCCTAGTCATTCTCACCATAAATCTCAGTTAACTCAAATTAAGGAAAGCACAAATCTTAAACATACCGTGTGGTTGGAGAGAGAGAGAGAGAGAGAGAGAGAGAGAGAGAGAGAGAGAGAGAGAGAGAGAGAGAGAGAGAGAATCACTATTTTTTATTTTCCCCTTGAGTACCTTTATTTAGCCAAATTGGTTTCTTAGCAAAGCCCTGAGCAAAGTCTTTTTTAAAATAGTTTTTCTACCTATCTCTTTTTCATACCTGCCTGAATGGGTAGCTGATTCCCATCCCAGCCCTCAAGCAAGTTTTCCATTGGGGAGCCTAGCATGACCCTCAAGCTAGAGCTTCCCATGTTTCCCTATTCCCGATATAAGGATTCACTTTGTCTCTGCTGGGTCCTGGCAAATTTTGGGGTTCCTAGTGAAGCCCCTCTCCCAGTCTACAGTTTTCAAACCAAAAAGAGTCTGGGGGGGATTCTGCTTCCTTTTACAGAGTATGGACCCCCCTCCAAGGGAACTCCACTGTCAGTTTTCAGACCAAAAAGGGGTCTGGGAGGACTCCAGCTGCTTCCCGCAGTGAATATGTGCACCTCCTTCCCTGGCCTTTTCCTCTTCCTGTCTTCAGTTTTCAGACTCACTAAAGTTCGGGAGGACCTCTGCTTGCTTCTGAGAGGTATAGATCCCTCCTAGCCCAGGGCTTAATTTCCTAACTTGGGGCTTTGCTTACAGGACTTTACCAACTAGTTGCCCAAATCCAATTCTCTCATTCATTCATTCCATTCCATTTTCACACAGCCTCTCCCTTTTCCCTAACACTCTGGCCAAACCCCCATGCTTTCCATGGTCTGCCACTTGAACAGATCCTTTCTGCGGTTAGGAAAGGCTGGAGGAAGCAAAATCCAACTGTGATTGGGAAAAGGGTCTTCTCACTCACACACAGAGAGACATATACACATTTCCCTCACTCCCCTGGGTTTTAAAGTTAAAATTTAGAGGTATTCACCTTCACCTTCTTTCCAAAGCAGCCCTTGAGCTCAAACCCAAAACTCCCTTTACTACCCTGGCTCCACATGGGTAGGGCCTGGGAAACCCATCCACAGACATAAGGGGTCTGCTGCCAGCAACATGGGGCTTACCAGTCTCAGCCCATTGGAGAGGTTAGCTTGGAGTCCCATCTGGAGTGCCACATTGTTGAAGGAAAAGTCTTCATCATAGTTCAGTCCAAGTCAAGAATAAACAACATGGTGACTGCTTTAGAAAGAAGGTTGCAGTTTATTGAAAAGGAGAGCCAAACAGAAAAATGGCTCTGGAAGAAAAGAGAGAGAGCACATGTAGGGAGTGGGTTTTTATACTTTCTTGAGCCTTTTGTTTGGAGCTGTTCCTGTGGCATGAACTTTGACCTAAGTCTGAGTGTGACTTTCTGGTATTCTGATGGTGGTGGGTTAATCCTATTATGTCCCAAAGATCAATCCTGCTTCCCTGGGGCTGTGGCTGATGACTCTTAGATTTTTGGTGTGAGGAATGGTTGATTCTAGGGATCTTTCTTCCTAATCCCAGTTTCTTGACTCCAATCTTTCTCACAAGATTATCACATCTGCTATTCTACAGATTTGGTTTCTGTTTGGGACAGAGAGACTTGGGGGCAGGGTTGGTTTCTGCTTTTAAAATCCTTTAGGGAAATATATTCTGCCTTTTAAAATTTTCCAAAAATATTTCTTTCTTGGGGGGGGACTTCCCACAATAGCCTCCATTTGAGCTTATGTCCAGTTCAAATGTCCACTGTCCAAATGCTCTTGCATTTTCTACAAATAAATATCAGATTTTTTTCAGCTAGCTGGCCAAGCCACAAACATTGCAGGCCACGACTACAATGCTGGCATTATCTTATTAGGCTAAAATCATTAGAAAAGCATTTTCTTTATCCCTTCTTAGGCTCTCAGTTTTCCAAATTTAAGTACAAATTCTTAATTAAGGGCCTTTTCCCACTGCTGCTCACCACTTATCCTTGAGTCAATAGAGAATTGTAGCAGCCTGACCTTTAATATCCCCAATGCTGATAACTACCCTGACTGCTTCTATTGCCTCTGCAGTTACTACAGCCTTCTGTATTTGTTCCAAAATAATGAGTGACAAATTGTATATAATTTGAGACTGTCCTTGAATAGTATTAGAAGAAAGGAGAAAAAGCTATTTTAACTTTTGTAAACTACTTAATAGCACCTCATAGACCAGGGGTCCCCAACCCCCAGCCCGTGGACTGGCACTGGGCCGCAGCATACCAGCAACTGGGCCGCTCAAACAAGTGAAGCCCCATCCACTGGATGTAGGGAGCATGCGAAACCATGTCCCCTCTGGTCTGCAGAAAACTCTTTCTCCACAGAACCAGTCCCTGGTGCCCCAAAGGTTGGGGGCCTCTGTCATAGACATAGGAACTCCACAGAAAAAAAAGAGACTGCTACCTGCTCAGTTTGTGCTGTGGTTTAATAGAAAGTGGAAAAGACCCTCAAAGGGAAAATTTATCAGAGACTTCCCCTTAAAATCCCTTACTGAACTCCTCTGAAACCTCCTGTTAATTCCCATTTATTGATACAGATATCCCTCATGAGATTATATCTACTGTATCTGTGCAAGCTACATTGCTTTGACAGAAAAGAAGCTTCAAATAATCATCCAAGAACCATTATTACCATATAAGATGAAACGGGGACATCCAGGCTGATCTTTCCCTCCATTAAGATAGTAATCAATGTGCCCCACGGGTATTCGGATACCAAAATCTAAAAAAAAACTGTGTTAGAATTTATTTTAAAATGATGCAAGTATCTAGAGCAAAGCTGCAGCTGGAAGCACTGATCACACATATGTAGATACATAGAGGCATGAAACAGATCTTTCCACAAGATTTTTTTCCCCCAGAATATTTCATCTAATTCTGTTCCAATTACTGGCCAAGCAAATAAAAGAAAGCTAACTGTTGAAACACACAAAATATGCATGCATTTGAGCTGTGCAAAGTATTACAATTACTGATTAATTGCAAATTGTAAAATTCATTATGAAGAAGTTTGAACTTTGAAAGACTGAAGTTTTTAAAAAGGCAAAAAATCCAAATAGCTTCACAGTAACGGGGGCAAGGGGGGAGGGGATCCAAATCATTTGTGTGCTGGATCACCCCAACAATTGCAAAATACATTGCTCCTTGGATAGATGGAATAGCAGGGTCATAACTGTTCTCCTGAAATCCAAGAGACAAAGAATAGAGTGGATTTCTATATGGAGGATGTTCTAAAATTAGGGGCCACTGCTGAGAATGTTTGTTTCCAAGGTCCTATCAGATAGCATCCCTAGACAGATGGGGCTTAGAAGATGTTTGATACTCTTTGATTTGATTAGATGAGCAGATGCATAGAAAAGAATATCTGAATCCTTAAAGGCCCAGAAGCTGATTGGGAACCAGTGCAATTCCAAAGGATTGGGTCACCCCTGTGTAACAAGATACCCCATCACAGCCCAGCCTGCTGCATTTTATACCAGCTTTATATTTCAAATGTTTTTCCAGGTAGCCCATTTGTACAGCATTGACAATAATCTAAGCAGGAGGTGACTAGGGCATGACTATGAGCAAGAATTCCCAATTCTGGAATGATCATAATTAACACCCAAAATGTAATTTTACAAAAAAAACCTTTGGGCCACAAAACCAAATGCTTCTTAAGCATGAACAGGAGGAAACCTAGATTGCAAACCACTTCTGAGAGAGAGACTTCAACCCCATTCAGAGCACAAGGTAGTATAGTAGTACCCTGGAATTGTTGGTCCATAAATCCAAAGTCAACCCATCAGAAGAACTAAGATGAAATAGTATAGCTATGACACAGAAACAGCACCTATTATCTACAATTATTACCCCATCTTAAAAAGTAGAAGCTAATAGTAAACAATGATTTTCAAGAAGGATACAAAAACAATTTTAGAAATGAATACACCTGAAATGTTACTGTCTTTAAAAAAACACACCCTGAAATATAATTGGAAAGCAGGTCATTAGCTTACTATCCGAATCTGTGTGAATGGCTTCTACAAAGAGAGCATCCCCAGGATCCAGACGGTCCTCAGGGCTGGCTCTGGTGTATTTTGGCCCCGCTGGATCCAGAGCTGAAATATGATGATGAACAATAAGTGGCAACCAGTTACACTTTTCATTTGGTGAATTTGGAGGACAGCAAGTGATTGTGTGGTACAAGGTCACCTGAAATGGATCATTTGTGATTCAGAAGACAGAGCCTGAACTGTTGAAACAGTTGTTAGAGGTGGCGCAGCAGTTAGAGTGCAGTACTGCAGGCCACTTTAGCTGAGTGTGTTCAGCAGGTCAGCGGTTCAAATCTCACCGGCTCAAGGTTGACTCAACCTTCCATCCTTCCGAGGTAGGTAAAATGAGGACCCAGATTGTTGGGGGCAATGTAAATATATATATACATTGCTTACTGGTGTACACCGCTTAGAGAGTGCTTGCACTTAAAGCGGTATATAAGTCTCATAAAATAAATAAATAAATAAATAAAATAAATTGAACTTATGGCATTTTTCATAAGAAACAAAAACAATACTAAATTCTTCAGTCATCATAATCCTTTCTGTGTTGCTATTACTATTATTTTGTTTGAAAAAAGGTTTGAGAGATGGGATTAGGAAACAACCCAAATCACAATGAAAACATTTCTTTGAATAAAATAGTAAAAAAATATATGTCCCTTATTTATAGGACTTTTATTCGATACTATGGCTAAACCTCTATATTTATAATTATTGGGAACTGCTTAAATCTTTTGCAAAACCAACCAGTTGTTTTGTCAGCAAGATAGCCTAACAGAAGGTTGATCAAAGCTATAGAGCAAGATGGCACAATTTATTGAGAAATCTAAAAGGAATAAAATCTATATGACATTAATTATGTTTTTCTTCATAAAGAAGATATTTTAAACAGAGGCTAGAGGGAGGGAGAGTGGAGTTTTATTGCTTCCTTCGTAAGGAGGATATCTCAAACGGAGGCAAGAGAGAGAGAGTGTGTAGAAAGGAGCTAGCTGAGGCTCCTATCCTCAGATTTTAACAATAAAGATAAAGGGGGGGGGGGTTTGATGCTGAAACCTGACTGAAGAAGAAGCAACAGAAGGAGAGGAGAGACTGGTGGTGGCTATTGTTGCTGCAAAGCCTGGAGGCTATTTGGACTGTGACTATTGCTGCTGGTACAGGTTTTAGACATTATGGGGGAGTTGCCCTGGGGGACGAGCTATTGCTACAGCACACTGACTGTTGTTGTTTCTACTACCGTCTGGAACCGGGGTTTTCCTCCATCCCACTTGACTCTCAACGATTGCTGAGGAATCTTTTATTCCTGCTGCTATACCGTCCTTGGGCTGTTGGATATCATCATAGCATTGACTATCGTGACTGGTTATTTCCATTTCTGGAAGCCCCTCCTTGACGACAAGAGCCTGCTACCTACTAATTCTGCATGGGCTCCGGCTGGAAGAGACATCTTATCAATCCCTAGAGAACACTACTGCAGGGCTTGACAAAGGGGGCTGGGGCTGGGAGTGCCTGGTTTTTGGCGGCCTCTGAGGCGGTAACGCTACACTTCTACAAAGTTGGAAAAGTGAAAAATAGGACAATATACTACTCATCAAACTCTCACGAAGGAGGATACCAAATCCATAAGGGTTTTAGATATGTAAGAACAAAATAAAACATGTAACAAATTTAAAGATATATTACATCACAGTTTTGGCAATGCAGATCTTGTGGCTTCACATTGGCCTAATGTTTGGACATTCTTGTTTCTTCAAAGTACCATAGCCAAAGGCTCACCCATTCCCTTACTTATCACAGGATTATAATTTTTAATTTTATATAAATTACGTTATAAGAAAAATGTGTTACGTTTTGCTACTGTAAGCATATGCTCAATTCAGTTCAGGTTTATTACAGGTACTGACCAATCTTTATACAAAGCTAAAATAATAAAATACCAAGAAATTAAGAACAATGAAAAAGAACTAAAGAAATAGATGGATAAAATGCATAAAAACTTTTAAGTGCAGACTTTACAATACTAAAAGAGAAATAATATGTTAGCAATAAAATATTAATAAAATATAATTAAAGATAAAGGTTTCCCCTTTCCAGTTGTGTCTGACCTTAAAGGGTGGTGGTCATCTGTTTCTTACTCAAGGGAGACAGCATAGTCCAATGATATTTCCATGATCATGTGGCCAGCATGATTGTATGCCGAGGCACACAGAATGCTGTTACCTTCCCACCGGAACGGTACCTATTTATCTACTCACATTTGCATGCTTCCGAATTGCTAGGTGGGCAGGAGCTGGGACAAGTAACAGGAGCTCATTCTGTCACGCAGTGCTCATATTTCAAACCCAGGCTATCAGCTTACCAGCTGGCAATCTCACTATCTTTAACCACTGAACCATTGCGCCCCAAAATATAATTAGTTAAGAGCTAAAGTAAGCTCTCTTCAAATATCAATTATTAAGAAAAATGGCATAAACCATACTAACATATATTCACCTTGCTGCTTTCCTTACCAGTAATTCTTCCAAGGTGGCCTTCATAGAATTGGCCCACCAGGCCCCCAACGTGTGCTCCAAGGCTCACCCCAATAAGATGGATGGATGATTCTGGCACCCCCACAGCCTGAAGATTGGGAAAAATAATAATTAGGACTTCAAATTTTTCTTCTAAATGCCCTCAAAACATACAGATAATTTCCCCAACAATCTAACCAATTGGTTCATGTTTTTCTCTGGACTATTTTGCTTAGATGGCAAAAAAAAAAAAGCAAAATGAAGGTAACTCTAAAAGAGTTAAGAGTTTCACATATACTTTATTGCAATAAGACTTTGTTAGTTGCAGCAATACTTTTTAAATTTTATTATGAACAGCATTAGAGAATAGACAAAATACAGAGGAAGTAAGGGTAGTTCATATATGTAGTATGACAAAGGGAATCTGGACAGGGCTAATCTGCAAGGCAATAATCAGAAACATGGTTGCAGAAATATTATTTTTTAAAATATGTATCATTTGAAGGTAAAAAGGTATATGTGATACCTGTCTGCATTTCTTTAAACAAAGTGTGTCTTTTCACAATCACATAATCACAAGGTAATGCAGGTGCTACTTTTGTGTACATGTAGGTTCCAGAGGATATAGAATCATAGACTCATAAGGCTGGAAGGGACCTTGGAGATCTTCTAGTCCAACCCTCTCCCTGAGGCAGGAGTTCTTATTCCATCCCAGACAAATGGTTGTCCAATCTTTTCTTGAAAACCTCCAATGATGAAGCACCCACAATTCCCAGAAACAAGTAGTTCCATAGATTAATTGCTCTCACTGACAAGAAATTCTGCCCCAGTTGAATTTTTCTCTGATAGGTTTCTACGCATTGTGTCTTGACCTACCTTCCTTTGGAGAATAAGTCGAACCCCTCATGTCTGTGACTGCCCTTAAGTATTGGAAGACTGCTATCACGACTCCCCTCTAAGCTTCTCTTCATTAGGCCAAACATACCTAATTCCCTTAGCTGTTCATCATATGGCTCCATATCCCTTATCATCTTTGTTGGGCTTTGTCATTCTTTCTAGGGCTTCAGCATCTTTTTTGTATCATGATGTCCAAAACTAAATGCAGTATTCCAAATGTGGCCTCTAATACAATACAGAGTGATATTCTAACTTCTTGAGATCTTGATGCTATCCCTTTGTAATGCAGCCTGCTGAGGTCAGGGCCATGTTAGAGTGGCAGGTACCATGAACCCGCCGTCAGCTGCAGAGCTTCCTGGGATTTGCAAATTTCTACCAGCAGTTCATCCCCTCGTTTGCTACAGTGGCCCTACCCCTAACGGACCTGCTCTGCACGAGACACACAAGGGCAAGCCTTGCCCCAGTCAACCACTGGCGTGGACTCTAGTCTGTCAGAAGGCCTTTGAGGACCTGAAGGCTCTCTCCCAGAATTCCTGAGCCAGTATGTCTCAGCTTAAAAACCTCTCCCCTTCCCTTCAGTATGGTTGGCTCAGGAATTCTGGGAGTTGGAGTCCACGAGTCATAAAAGAGCCAAGGTTCCCCACCCCTGTCTTAAATGGTTGCTCTGTGGGAATTGCTTCCCATGAGGAAAGCTGAGTGAGAGATTTACTAAGGCTTTGGAAATGGGCAGAGCAAAGAGGAACACGGCATCCGCCAGGCATTTTTTGTCCAAATTGGGCATCCAAAGCAAAGGGAATAAACAGTTGCGGAGTTTTGAAAAACTGCCAGGGTTGCTGCACCTCTTCCTGAAATGAAGTGCTCCGCGCAGCCCAGCCTCATCCTGCATAGCTGCCACGATGCCTGGCTACTTGTCCAAAATGAAGTACAGGTCAAAGTCCCCATAGCAGGCAGCAATCCCTCCTCTCGCTGCCCCCCTCCCCCATCACAGGGGACTACCAGGGCAGCCAGGAAGAGCCACTGCAAGGCCCAGGGAAGAGGTCTCTGCACTGCACAAGCCATTCCCAAATCCAGGCAGCCCAAGGCAGCAAAGGTCCTGGGGCTCTGATCCTCCCAAGCTCCTTCAGTGGATGGTTAGGCAGTAGTGGCAGCGGCTTCTCAGGGGATCAAATCCTCACGCTCAGAAAGAACAGGAAAAGGCTGTCTGGGGGTGGGGTTTTTTTGGGGGTGGTTTCAGATTTCCCTTCTGCTCTGCTTTCCCTCTGGTCCATTTTCAGAGGCGCCTCTGCCTTGTGCTTCCAGTGCAGCACATGCGAGCCCGCCACTGTTGGCCAGGCGATTGGCAACTTCCAGACGGTCTTTTTTCCCCGTTGCTTTGTTTTGCCCCAGATTTGAGGAATGTGTAAGCTCCATCCCCCCTCCTGCCCCCTTCCCCACGAAGAAAAGACCTGGAATCTGGCGCTGAGCCCCAAAGAAGCACCGATCAGAAGAAGCAGTGATCAGCTGGAGGCCAGTGCTGATCCTGGCGCTTCTGATGAGCTCTGACAGCCCTGCAACTCCAGCCATCTCTCGCTCAGGCTTGTGCGGTGCTACCACTGGTTCAGCTGATTCCCCTCCCCTGCTACCACTTCTCTAAGGTGGTCGCATACCATCTGCCAGGTGCCAATGTATCACAGATAGTATGTGTACCACCGGTTGAAAAGCCCTGGACTAAAAGACCTCCAAGGTCCCTTCCAGCTCTATTCTATTTTACTTGAGCAACGTTTGATCCAGTATTTTCTCAGGGAGTTCTACTTACCAGTAACTTGCGGATAAAACTAGAAATTTCCAGTCCCAATTTCATAACATTTTCCACTGCAGTAGGATAGGCTGCTGTGGCTCCCTGAACCCAGTCTACAGCAATCACGTTGACTCTGGCTACCTCTAGGAAGGCTTGAATTAGTGCATCTATCCATGATGGTTTGGTGCCTAGTGCCCTAAAGAGAAATAAAAGTAAGAGAATGTGGGAGGGCATCTCTATTTATAAAGGAAGAGTGAAGCCTGATCTGCAATGTTTAATGTCCAACAAATCATGAGACCCTCAATTTACAGTAATGCTGATGGGCTCAAGCTGCGTTCATAGCAGATATCTCAGCTTCCTAGAAACTTAATTTTTCAAAATTTGGCTTATTCAACAGCATGTTCATAACCAAGATTTGTCGCTTTACTAGATAATAATGAAGCCATATACTGTATACAGAGATTTGTCTGCTGCAGTATACAGAAGTCAAGGCCCACACTTAGATCTGTGACTAGGATTAAGATTCTAAAATTTTTCTTCACTATTCAGTGGATACCTTGCTGTTCTCTTGATGGCCTTGGAAGGCACCTATGTGCTTTGTGTTGACTTAAAAGTTCTGTCTAGCCTAGGACTCTCTGACTCCTTCCTGACTATGTTCATTCATCCCTTGAAGAACATCCTTCTCTATATTCTCCTTCTCTTCTTCTTATGGGTCTGGAAGTGCCAGGTGCCTGTAGTCTGTATCAGTGTTTCTCAGTGTTGACAACTTTAAGCCGTGTGGATTTTAACTCCCAGAATTCCCCAGCCAGCATCATTTCCCATTTTAAAAAAACGTTCTAAGTGTACAAATTGGCATATGCTTATGCTAAATGTTATTGTCAAGAAGGGGACTCCCCACCACCACCTCTGTCCCTGTCTCCTTCCATTTCTATTTTTCCCATCAGTCAGAATTTCCACTATTTTGTGCATCTCTATCCATTGTTCCTTCTGTCACTTATCAGCGGGAAATGTGAATGTTTTCATCTCTCCTAGGTTTTTTTTTTTTTTTTGAGGAACTCTCTCCATTCCAGAACTCTCCCACCATCTTCAGATGCAGCAATTTCTGCCTCTCATGAAGTCATACAAACCTCTCCTTCCCTGTCCGTAAACATGTGGGAACTGCTGACAGGTGAGTGAGAACTGCAGATGGAATGAATGAAGATGAAGAAGATGAGCTTCATGAACACCATCTGGTAACTTCCCAAAATAGCCAGTAACTGGGTATCTTTATCAGCAAATGAAATATTTCAGCCTGCCGTTCCTGCACTGAGTCCAAAATATACTCAGATTCTTCTTCCCATCACAGGATGTGGGAACTTTGAGGGAAGAGACATGCAAAAGTAAGGGGGGGGGGCGGCTTCCAGGACCCAGAGAGAATGATGGGAAACTAGGTATGTGTTCAGTGTGAGGGGAACCTGCAGGCAAAAGGTCACAAGAATGACATGTGTAGCTACAAAGAATGGACCTGGGCATATAGTTTCTTAGAAAAGCATATAGAAGGGAGAAATTGGAAAGAAAACAAGATGTGAATTCCAACATGGACGGGGATGGGTGGAGTTCCCTTCCTGACAATGACATTTAGCATAAGCATACGCCAATTTGTACACTTAGAAAGTTTTTTAAAAATGCCCTTGGAAATGATGCTGGCTGGGGAATTCTGGGAGTTAAAATCCACATGGCTTAAAGTTGCCAAGATTGAGAAACACTGATAGAGACTATTCTCAGAGACATTCCCACTGAAGCAATGGGGTGCTAGAATTGGCTTACACCAGCTCAAGAATGCCGAGATTATTAAATTTTCTAGAATTTTGTGAGCTGGTCAACAGCCGAGGCAAACCTCAATGCCTAGCCCACTGTAGCTAGCAGTGCAGTACAAGGACTATGGAGCCAGCAGAGCCAGTTCTTAAGCATTTAGCAGTACACTGACTTTGGAGAGTCAGTCATTAATGATCAATTCAATGGATCTGTTCTCTTATGTATGTACAGTATATTCATAGATATTACTTCGAATGATTACTTTTCACTGTTAAAGCAATCCCAATTATCAATACACTACTTAGTCCCATAATGTCAGCCCTCCAGACAAGAAGCACAAACCATGAATATTAACACTACCTTTATTGTAAGTTTACAGTAATAGTGTCCAGCTAGTCTGAAAGGACTTCTCCCCTCCTTCACTGTTACTTTCCAGAAAGCTAGGGAGGAGCTCTTCTGGAGCTACTTCTCACACCCCTTTTCCTTCTGTGGTCTGAGATGCCTTTTGCATGACGGTTGCCTAGGCTGTGGCTCTTCCTCCTCTCTCCCAAGATCATTCCCACATACCATTACATATAACTGGTGGAGGGCATACGTTCACTTTTGAATATTTGTACCTGAAACCATGAATGATTATCTTAGTTCCCAAGCTGGCATTGAATCCGGCCTCCTGGATGTCCTCCTGTTGTGAAAGCAGCTCTCCACAGCTGGGATTGGAAAAGGGAAACAGAAGAAATCGAACTTGGAGATTTGTACCCCATAGTAAATGTGCAGATTGGAACTCAGCACACTGTTGATTTTTCATAATATTTTTAGACTCTGAAATGTAACAATAACAATAATAAACATTAATAATAATGTTAATATGTCAACAGTAGGAGAAGCATCTTCCAGGGAGACTCATTTAAATCTTTATTATTTGTCATTGCTATGATCCCACTTTCAATTATTTTGAAGAAAACAAATCATGGCTATCAAATAGCACAAAATGCTAATAAAAATCTCATATGCGCTTTATATGGATCATCAGAAGCTTCATAAACAATTAGAAGTGAAATCCAGTCACTGACAAACACAATAACACTTTTTTAGCACAGCTATAGCAACAGTATTTGGCCTAGAAAAATGTGCTACAGTAGCAATAAATTGGGGTAAATGGAATTGAAATGCTGAATGGCCAAACAACAGAAACCACCAGGATGAAACCTACAGGTATCTGGGTATTTTAGTGGGATAACATCCAAACATGGACAGGTTAAAAATCTGATTAGTAAAGTGTTATATCTTTAGTTCTTTAGGCATTGAATGAGGCAGAGTGTTGAAACAGCAACAAGTTTATTAACTCAGAACAGAAGCAGCCCTAAAGGCCGCTGCAAAGCTATTTATACAGTTAGCCTCTAGGAGGCAACCAATAGGTTTAAAGTAACAGTTTCCCACCCCAAATCTCATTATCAGCTTAGAGACAGCCAGTCTGGCTTTCAGTAACAGCAACTGTTAAACAATACAGCAATGTAGGTCAGACATTAAGCAAGTGATTTAAAACAGTTGTGGCCAATACATTACATCCCTTCCCGCTAAATGGCTCAAATTCTCAATAGCTGGACATAGTCCTGCAGATATTTAGGCGGCCTTCTTGGCTGTTCTGAACGTCTAGGGGTTGCAGGGGTCTCCCGGTTTACCTGCTTGCCTGCCCGGCTGGGTAGACCATGACTCTGAGGTCCAGTGAAGTCAGGTTGACTCGGGTCCCTTTGGCTGGCCAGTCCTGGTCAGCCCAAACCAAAGTCCAATCATGCAGCAAAGTCTGCAGGGCTGTCCCTCAGCGCAGTTTGCCGGTCCTGTTCAGCGGATACTGTCTGTCTGTCTGGGGGAAGCTCTCCTATGGCCTTTTCCCCGTCTCCTTGAGTAGGAGTTCTGTTGGAGCTTGCAAGCTCCTCTGTTGGACCGCTGTCGCATGGCCCTTGTGTGTGGCCCTCTTGAGAGGCCTGAGCCAGCGACTGGTTTGCTAGCCTTACGCAGGTGGTCAATGTGCTGATGAATGACTTGCCCATCTTCCAGGACTACCTCATAAGAGAGTGGTCCTGACACCTTAACAACCACGGCTGCCATCCACAAAGCCTCTTACCTGTAATTCTGGGTCCAAACCTGGTCACCCACTTGCAATTTCCGAGATGCCTTTGGCTGAGCAGAGTCCGAGGCACCCTGGTCGGGGTGCAGCCTGTCCAGCTTGGTGATCAAACGTCGGCTCCATCTGAGTTTGGCAGGGCTTCTGCCCATGGTGGTACAGGAAGTTGTGCATTGGCAGAGTAGAAAATCTGCCAGTCTGTGGTGCCAATCCCCTGTGACAATCCATTTTAGTGATTCCTTGGTTGTGCGGACCATGCGTTCTGCTTGGCTGTTCAAGGCCAGGTGAAAGGGAGCTGACGTGGCGTACCGTATTAGATTTGCCCTGAGGAAAGACTGGAATTCAGAAGTGGTAAACTGAGCCCCATTGTCAGAGACTAGCATGTCTGGAAGTCCATGTGTTGCAAAGATTCTGCACAGTTCTGGATGGTCCTGGCAGTAGTCATAGTAGAGACTGGTGCGACCTCTAACCATTTAGAATGGCTATCTACCACTATTAGAAACAGCTATCCCTGAAAGGGCCTGGCAAAATCGATGTGGATTCTTGACCACGGTGTGTGTGTGTCCTCCCATTGGTGGTCAGGGGCTTGCGGCATCTCCAGTCTGGATTGCTGGCGCGTGTAGCAACTATGTACTTGGGCCTCGATGGCTTTATCTAGCCCTGGCCACCAAAGGTAGCTCCTCACAAGTGCCTTCATCCAGACTATTCCTGGATGACCCTCGTGCAGAGACTCTAGGACCCTGGGCCTTAAAGAGCTCGGGACTATGACCCTACTTCCCCAAAGAATGCACCACTTATGAGCTGAAAGCTCATCTTTTCTCATGAAGAAACTCTGAAATTCTGGCCCTGGACATTTTCCAGCCATCCTGTGTGTACCCTATTTAGCACACAACTCAGCGTTTTGTCAGCTGCTGTCTCAGCAGCTATATCTCCAGCGTGAAGGGGAGATTCCGGCAAATCCTGGATAGCCAGGTTGCATGCAGCCGGTGCTGGATCTGGCTCCACATGTGGCAGGGGCAGCCTGCTCAGGCCATCTGCATGGCCCATTTCCTTGCCCAGTTTGTGAATCATCCTGTAGCTGTAGGCTGACAGGAAGATAGACCACCTCAGCATCCGAGGAGACAGAATCTGAGGTGTCTGTTTATTTGTGGTGAACAACCCTAGGAGTGGCTTGTTGTCTGTGAAGACCATGAACTAGTGGCCATACAAGTAGTCATGGAACTTTTGAACTCTGGCCACAATGGCCAGAGCCTCCTTGTCAATTTTCACGTAGTTGCGCTCTGCAGACGATAGGATTCTGGAGTAATACGCGATGGGCTTCTGCCTACCATCAGCCATTAAGTGGCTTAACACAGCCCCAATCCCATATAGGGATGCATCACATGCAATGCAGACAAGCAGATGCTCACTGAAATGAGTGAGAACTGAGTTCGACGACAGCAGTGATTTGACTGCTTGGAAGCTATTCTCGTGGACACTGGTCCACTGCCACTGAGCTTGTCTATCCAAGAGTCAGTGTAATGGCTCTGCCACTGTGGCCTTGTTTGGGAGGAAGGCATGGTAAAAATTAAAAAGGCCTAGGAAAGCCTGAAGCTCTCCCTTTGACTTCAGCCTTGGGGCCTGCCGGATTGCTTTTAATTTGGATTCCGCTGGATGAATACCTTCGGCATCGATGAGTAAACCAAGGAACTTGGTTGACACTACCCCAATCTTGTACTTTTCTTTTTTTAGTTTAAGTCCTGCGTCGTGGAACCACTGAAGGACGGCCTTAAGCCATCCAGCCAGAATCTCAACCGGGTTTTGGGTTTTAATGCGAAAGGCACTCTATGAGACTTGATCCGTATTGGAGTTATCATAGGATGAAGCTTGAGGGCGATTGGAGGACCCTTGTACTCCCCTAGACTAAAACTGAAAACATCCGTGAAGTCTTGGCAGACTGCTGACAGATCCGCCACTTGTGTTCGGTGAATGCTGGTTACTTGAATGCCCAGTGCATCAAACCAATTGAGCCTTATGAGGCTTGTGCATTGGCCTTCCACCACTACAACATCTAGTGGCCCACTGAACCACTTGAATTCCACCAGAAATGTGGCTTCGCCTTTGGCTGCCACTCAGGAGTTTTGGAAGTCTGTGAGTAGTAGATTAGATGGCTGGAGCTTGGTCCATCTGTTGCTACGATGGCATAGGTGCCTGAATGTTCCTTGTGAAATGATGGACATGGCTGAGCCTGTGTCTAGTTCCATCTTGCATGGAACTCCCTGAAGTTTGACCTGTAGTCTAAGCTTCTGCTTTAGGGGGCGATGGGCACCAATGTGGAACACGCTTCTTTGGCTGGAGCAGAATCCTACTCAGTGATGACCTGGGGCCCTAGTACCTCTCCTGAATGCATCTTATTTCGGGCGGTCCCTCTGATGACCTCAGCAGACGGCAGCAAAGTGGCCTGGTTTGCCACAGGCCTGGCACGTTGCAGTTCTGAATCGGCAATCCGTGCATTGATGGCAGCCTCCGCAGCCATTCATCTAAGGAATGGAACTGCCTTCCCATCTGGCTGCGGTCCCTTCTCCAGTGCTTTCATAGCTGGTTGACTTCGTAGTCTGAGTTGGTGTCTTCCATCCACTCGGCGTCCTCGTAGTGGACAGTTTCAATGCTTGGCATGCTTTTGGAGGGCCGCAGCGCTTTAATGGCCCCTCTGGAGGCTTTGTCCACCATGACCTCCTTCAAGGCCTCTTGTAGCGAGAGAGTCTCCTTAGTGAACAGTTTTTATTGGAGCTTTCGATTCTGGAGTCCGCAGACTAAGCGGTCTTGTAGTTTCTCCTCCAAATCTGTGAAATTGCAGAGTCAAGACGCTTGACGAAGAGCGGCAATGAATTCTGTTGCAGACTCGCTGGGTTGTTGCTCCTGCTGCTCAAAAGCATGCCTCCATGCTATAACGGATAACTTGGGCTCAAAGTGGTCTCGGAGCTTTTTTTTCAAGGGGTGACCAGGTTCTCTGCAATGTCAAAAGTGGTGGGGCTGCACACACAGAGAAGCATTGCGGCCTTCAATCCATCTTCGGTGACCTGGTTGGCGCGGAGGTAATTTTTGATGCGGGAGATGTAGGACACCCATTTCTCCAGGTGAGTTACGTCGAATTCTTTGAGCTTCCCAACCTTCGCCATGGTGGTTTGTTTCTTCATGCAATGCCTTGCGCTGCTGGCTTCTGTGTAGGCCCTAGGACAGATTCTTAAGGCGTGGTGGTCTCCAGCATGGCTTGCTGGCAGACCGAGGGGGAGGGGGACATAGTTCCTGTCAGGCTTTGTGCTGATCTCACCCCCTAGTGACTTCAAGCTCTCTCTCAATGAAGCAGCACATCCCACCTTCATTGCCACTGTTATATCTTTGGTTCTTTAGGCATCGAATGAGGCAGAGTGTTGAAACAGCAACAAGTTTATTAACTCAGAACAGAAGGCCGCTGCACAGCTATTTATACAGTTAGCCTCTATGAAGCAACCAATAGGTTTAAATTAACAGTTTCCCGCCCCAAACCTCATTATCAGCTTGGAGACAGCCAGTCTGGCCTTCAGTAACAGCAACTGTTAAACAATACAGCAATGTAGGTCAGACATTAAGCAAATGATTTAAAATAGTTGTGGCCAATACATTACATAAAGAATACATCCAAAGAGTGAAAGAACTGGAAATGCAATCAAAGCTGGGCCATATCTGTGATATGATACATCGCTGGATTAATAACTGAACACAAGCTGAACTGGATAGTTTGGAGCAAAAAATAAGAAAACTGATGACTAAAACTACGAATTACATTCCAGTAGTGATATTGATAGATTATACTTGCCCAACAGAAATAGGCCCAGAGGTTTACTTCAAGTCACACAAAACTGTGGAAGAAGAAAAGCATGCGTTGGCTGATCATGTAAAGGACAGCCAAGAACAAGGATTAGAATCATAGAGTTGAATGGTCCATTTAGAATATCAAATCCAAATCCGTACTCCGTACAGGAATTCAAATTAAAGTAACCCCAACAATTTAACCTCCACAGGAAAACATTTACTGAAGAGGCACCCACAACTTCTTTGAGTAAATTGGTTCTTCTGTCAAAGTTATTGAACATTCCCAATTCCTTCTTTTTCTTCTCACAAGATTTAATTTCTATTCCTGATCTTCCCTATTATGCTTCTCAGATCCTATAAAAGTTTATCTCTACTTTGTTTGTTCTACAAAGGCCAAAAAAGAAAAAAAGAAACTATATTCCACTTAATCAAGCATGACAGACTGAAAAAAATGAGAAGATAAAGTTGGTTTATCAGGATAATTCCTAAAACTGTAACCTTAGAAATTAAGTTAACAACTAAAAATTTCTTTCTTGAGATCCTTGATTTTTCTTATACAATTGTTCAGATCCTCACATGAATCCAGTTTTTGCTGAGTGAATAATTTCTAAGCTCAGATGGCTGTCGAAATACTAGCATTCAACATTTAGAGTACTGAAAGTAATCTTATAACCGGAACATTTAATGCTTCTTTCCCAAATGAGTAATAACATTAATGGCTACCAGCCCTTAGCAGTCTCAGGAGAATTACCTTTATTCATCAGCATCTCGAGAGATTGTTGAACTGAGCCACAACAGAGGGCATGATATGTATGCAGGCATGTACGTAGAATGAATGAATGATTGAATGATCCTCAAAAGTAAATAGACACGTTTAATACCCTAAATGTAATTGCAGAAAGCTACTAATTCAAATCGTTGTAAGGCTGGTTTAAATGTTTAAATGATATCCTCTTTCGAAAAGTTCACAAACATTTTTCTTGAATATGAAACCTATCACTTTTACTTATATATGTTTCTGTTTTATTATTTGAGAGGTAAGTTTTAAAGTTTATCTATTATTACCATAAAATTAAAATTGAGAGAAAATAATGTTCCTTTTCATGATTTGTTTCTGTTCCTTTATTAAAAAGAGAATTTAATCCATATAGCTAATAGCTCCCAAACGTTGTTCCCTTTGCATACATTTTCCCCTGGTACAGTGTGTCCTGCAAATTAGAATATTTTGAGTTTTGCTCTCCCAAATGTTCCATGGTTCTCTATGAAGAATTTTGCAAAAAGTGTTGCATAGCTTGGATTGGATAATGCACACTGTTTGTGTGATGGAGTGTTGCCCTGTGCATTATCCAATCTTATTTCTGTGTCTTTGATTTTAGAGGATTTTGCTATTTATTAAACTTCATCCACTTTACAGAATTTGAAATTTCTTATCTAATCCCTTTTTGTTTTGGACACTCTGAATCATTAGCTGTTGTTAGTGAAAGCGACCACCTCACTGGCAAAGGCAAGTTTTTAAGAAAAAGCATGAGATTTTGATACATTCATTGTCAGGAGTCCATCTTCTTGTATCCTTCCATTGCAAAAGCTTTCCACTGATTTCTGCTTCTTTCCAGGTATGCTCCATAAGAAGCCTATTATCTAATAAGTATTACATTATTACATTACATTTCAAAAAACTATTTGAAATATGGTACAGTAGTTACTTTTATCAAAGTAATGTTGATTCTTCTTCAGCCAGACTTGCTTTTAGATGTTTGATAATCTTTTCATCTAAGCTTTTCACTGATTTACCCAAATAGATATTAAATTTGAAATTGCTCAGAACTTTTTTTTATAACTTTGTTTAAAAAAATGATGCTTGCCATCTGAATAAGTTGACCCTCCATCTATCACCCATAATTTCCTTACCTGCAAAAATGAAAAGTGGTTGTACCATGAGTACTAAAGCTGACCATCTTCTGAGATTCATATTCATCCTTCCTGCAAGATTTTTTGGTGGATGATGAAATCCAAAGTAGATGAAAAAGTGTGTGAATTCCAACCCTTCTTCTTGTCTATTTTTCTTTTTTAAAAAAACTGGTCAATTATCCAGATGCCCTGAGACTTGGGGATGAGGGAAGAATTGGGACATTTGTCTCTCTTTCTTTGCTTGTAATACCATTTGTGGAAAGAGAATTTATTCAATTGCAGGAATATGCTAGGAGGAGGAGGAGTTACAAGCCCTGTTTTCTGTTTTGTTTTAAAGAATGGTTCATTTCAATAGCTCTCTGTTAAGTTTGCTGGATAAACACTGATGAATCCAAGCTTCATAACCATCTGGGCAAAGTATCAAAGTACTATTTACCATCTCCTCTTCAAAGACGGGTAAAACGAGACAACTGATTAGAGATCTGAAATCAAGGTTATGGGTTTAGGTCATTCAGTGTAAAGAATGTTGTCTGGCATACACAATTCTACTGCGTTCCCTTTGTAGCTGCTAGAGTAGGAGAGACCAATGTGGTGGTGGAGGGAATTGTTTTTCTTTTGGGGGGGAATTTGGCTAAGACACAAGATAGGCATCTTAAGCCTTGAAGGTCTTTGATGGTTTGGATAACGGGTATAATTAGCAATTTATACAGATAATTACTGTACATTCATAATAGGACATTATTTATTCATTCATTGATTGTTATAAGAACACAAGAAGTGATAATACTGCTTTATATTGCACTATTGAGGTCAGACTTGGAATATTGCTTTTGGTCATCACAATACAAAAAAGATGCTGAGACCCTAGAAAGTGTGCAGAGAAGAGCAACAAAGATGATAAGGGGGTCTGGAGGCTAAATCGTATGATGAATGGTTGAGGAACTAAATATGCCTCGCCAACCAAAGAGGTTTAGGAGGGACACGATAGCTTTCTTCCAGTACTTGAGGGGCTGTAACAGGGAAAAGGGGGTTGACTTATTCTCCAAAGTACCTGAGGGCAGGACAAGAAACAATGGGTGGAAGCTCATTAAAGAGAGATCAAAGAAGTACAGAGATATTTTCTGAGAGTGAAAGCAATTTATCAGTGGATTAGTTTGGCTCCTGGGTTTGTGGGTGCTCCAGTCACTAGAGGTTTTCAAGAATAAACTGGACAACCATTTGATCAAGGTGGTATAAAATCTCCTGCCTTGAATGTTCTAATTATTTCAAGTGGACTATGGCCTACTGTATTCACAATAAAGAAGAGTGAATGTTGTCCTGTTGCTGTTTGAGAGAAAAGATTAAACATCCTTTCTCTGCTGGGCTTCAGAGGAGTCCTCGTCTATCAGCCAGGTCTTCTTCATGTACTGCAGGGGCAGGGCAAATTTATCTAGAGCTGCTTCATCTTCTGTGAAAAGGGAAGCTGTTCCTCAAAATGTATCACATTCAAAATACTACTCACTTGGCTAACCAGTTTGCATTGTCCCTGATCTTGTTGGGATTTTCCCATTTTGTCTTCTTTGTTAGAAACTAACATAAAAATAGGAAGGGGTGTCATGCAGAATTGGGGAAATAGAAGTAGGGGAGAAAAGCTATCTTGATTCCTTCTTCTTTTTCATGTAAAGTCAGTAATGGTGATCACTAAATAAAAGGGCTATAATTACTGGTTGTCACTCTTCATGGCACAGGGCTAAGATATTTGAAGGCCCATCTCTCCAATGGTCTCTGCCCACCCACAAAGATCATATAGAAACAGTATGCCCTGAGTCTTTTCTATTAAACTGTGAGACCCAGGAAGTGTGCCTTCTCTGTCATTGTGTCTGCACTGCAGTTGGGATGGTCTTGATCCTGCTGGGCTCTTCCCTTGCATGAGCCCTTGGTGTGGGTCAGTATGGGTTCTGTGAATTATTGTTCCTGGAGCTATGGGTGTTATAATGATAGGTTTTGTCTATCATTGGAATGCTACTACTGAGGTCTTCTTTGCATGACATAATGTTGTTAAATTAATCATTCAGTATAAATTGGATGACTAAGCAGGGGGAGAGGAGTAAGGACCTGTATGCAGCTCATTGCTGCGGTATTCACAGGTGGTTATATCATCCAGCAGATTGAGAAGAGTTGCCGGACAGGACAGATCACTTTTTGAGCAGGTTGGGGTTGTTCTCTGCTGGTCTTCGCTCTCTCCTCTGATACAGAGGACTGGCAAGGTTGAAAGAGGCGCAGTCACAGAATAAAGTATAAAGGATTAAGATGAAAAATTTCCTAGACAATCAGGCATTGAGAGAGAAGAGGAAGAGATGATAAGCTTGTTTCATTTGAGGAATCTAGACTAGAATAACAGGATTGGAAGGGACCTTGTAGGTCATTTAGTCCAACCCCTTGCTCAAGCAGGAATCCCTAAACCATTTGTGACAGATGGCGCTCTAGTCTCTTCTTGAAAGCTTCCAGTTATGAAGCACCAACAACATCTGAAGGCAATCTGTTCCATTAGTTGATTGTTCTCGCTGTCAGGAAATTTCTCCTTATTTCCAGGTTGAATTTCTCCTTGATCAGTTTCCATCCATTATTCCTTGTCTGGCCTTTGGAAAACAGGTTGACCCCCTTTTTCTCAGTGAGATCTCCTCAAATATTGGAACACTGCTATCATGTCTCCCCTGATCCTTCTCTTCACTAGACTAGCCATGCCCAGTTCCTGTAACCGTTCATCATATGTTTTAGTCTCCAGTACCCTAATCATCCTTGTTGCTCTTCTCTGCACTTTCTCCAGAGCCTCAATTTCTTTGTTATAGTATAGAGACCAAAATTGATTGCAGTATTTTAGGTGTGGTCTTACTATGGCTTTATAGAATGGTATTAGTACCTCATGTGATCTTGATTGAATCCCTCTGTTAATGCAATTTAGGATTGCATTGGCTTTTTGGGCTACCACCGCACTGTTGGCTCATATTTAATTGATTGTCCACTAAGACTCAAGATCCCTCTCACAGTTCCTTCTATTAAGCCCAATTTCACCCAATCTGTATGTGTACTGCCCCCCCTCTTGCCTAAGTATAAGACTTTACTTTTGTCTATGCTGAATTTCATTTTGTTAGTTAGGGCCTAGTGTTCAAGTCTGTCAAGATCCTTCTGGATCTTGAGCCTATCATCTAGGGTGGGAACCACATCAGCTCTTTTCCAATCCTCAGGTACTTCCCGGGTTCTCCAGGATTTTTGAAAGATATGGTGCAGTGGTTCTGAGATGACATCTGCCAGCTCCTTCAGAACTCTGGGATGTAATCTGTCAGGTCCTGGTGATTTATGTTCATCAAGATCAGAAAAGGGGTTCTCTTACCCTTTTTTGTTTATTTTAATTTTTACTTGTAGTCTGTCTTTTTCAGTTATGTTTTTGGTGGGTTCAGCTATAATTTGTTTTTGCGTGGAGACCGCCCATTTTCACTTTCGATATTCACTGTTCAGCTCCGACTATGACCATCTGGAAATGTCTCCTCTGGGCGGTCCTGGGGGCAGCGGCCGCGCTCTGTGTTGCGAAAGGTAAGGAGACGCTCCCTTTGCTCGCCCCCCCTCCCCGCGCCCTTGTTCTCCGTCTCCGTACTCGGATCTTGGCTTGGCTGGCCTGAACGGGGTCCGGTTTCAGCGGGGCCTTCTTACCAACAAGCCTCCTCATCACGGAAGAGGTGGTTTGATAGGGGCCCGTCCATACAGGCGACTTACGCCGCCTCCTCGCATGCCTGGTTAGAGAGGGCGCGGACTTTTAAGAAAAGAAGAGTTACAAACGCGTTGTGAGGATTTTATGATGCACCCGAGACGCCAAGTCGCTCTCTGCCACCCTCGGGCTGCCCTTGGCCACAGGGCAAACGTTTGAGTCCTTCCGTTTCTCGAGGACTAAAGCGCTCCCAAAGACCAAATCCGGAACAGACGAACTCTGGCACTCACAACGCTCTCCCCTACAGCAGTTCGGGGGGGGGGGGGAAACCAAAAAAATCCCATATGAGCTGAGAATGACAAGGGGCCATGGAAACCACAGCTCCTCTTCCCTGACATGGCAGCTTTTATAAGAATTCAAGGACTCATTTTATAACGAGTTACCTGGTAAAATATCCGGGAAATTCTGGTCTCTTTTATATACAGCTATTACTATCAGATCAATATGATACAGTTTCTTTGAATGTAGCTAAGTTCTGCTTTACTGTCTGTAAAATTAGGCAGACTTGGCCACTGTTGTTCCATTATCTCAGCACTAACTACACTATAGTGTTAAGTCTTGTTCTGCTTTGTTTTATTTTATTTCAGTGTTTAATTTTGGTCTGTGCCATAATAACACTGAAAGGCCGAGCCTCTCTTTTTCCCATGGCCCTCCGAGCAAGGGAGGACACCGGAAAGGCTGGGAACGGCGAGCGTTGCCGGAAACAGGGTTGCGACTTCGATGCAAGTGGCTTGTCTTTTATTTGTTGAAATTTCTGCTGGAAACGCTTATGGGTGATGTTAAATAGCGCTCTCCGTTAATGTAGTTACCGTTTATTTACTTTTCATGACATTTGTACTCTAAACTATGCACATTGGCTCTATTCACCCTATCCTTCAGTTTAAAAAGTTTGTGAGGCGGATAGAAACCCACTTTATCCTTAGTTGCTTTGGTGCTGCTTTCTCTTCCCAATGTTATCTGAATAATAGCCGGAGCCATGGCAGACATAAGTTGTTGATTGAAGGCTACCCAGTGAGCTTCAGGACTGGAGGATTTAGAGCAAGCATAATGCATTTTCTCTGGGCAATTTAGATAAGAGGAACCATGCTGGATCATACCATGTCCAACCAAAAGCATTTAAGAAGCTCCAGAAAGCAATAACCCTCTTTCCATCATTGGGTAAAGGGTTTCAGGGTTTAGTGACCCTAGACTAAACAACAGAGTTGCCAGTGAAATATCAGGAAATCTGTCTAGACTCTAGACTGCAGTCACTAAATCTTGAAACTCAGTCCTGCCCAATACATACTAACCATAATAATAATAATAATAATAATAATAATAATAATAATAATAATAATAATAATGTACTAAAGTACTAATAATGTACTAATATGAACAATAATAATAATAAAGTTGGAAGGGACCTTGGAAGTCATCTAGTCCAACCCCCTGCTCAGGCAGGAATCCCTATACCATTTCAGACAAATGGCTGTCCAGTCTCCTCTTAAAAACTTCCAGTGTTGGAGCATTCACCGCTTCTGGAGGCAGGTTGTTCCACTGATTAATTGTTCTAACAATTGAAAGCATAAACTAGTATACAGTATTCCTCTTTCTTCTATTGTTCCCCTCCAACAACTGAAGTTTAAGGCATATTACTTTGGGTCATTTGGCATTATTTTTATATTGATATTCTGCCTTTCACTCAGTAACATTCATAGTACCCCCTACTGGTATCTTTCCCTACAACTATTCTATTAGGTAGGTTGGGGAGGAGGTGAGTAAGAGACAGTGGCAAAGACAAAATCCATCACACTACTCTCCCATTTTATGTTTAAAAATCAACTGAAATAAAATAGTCTGGGCTAGTTTACACTAATAATGTGTATTTTTACTGAAGGGAAAATGGGAAAATCCTTCTCAAATTTGCTGTCATTAAGAATAACTTCACATTTTAGTTGCAATAAAAATGATTTTATGATAGAAGCTTTGGTCAGTTGGTGGTACACAAAGGTTGGATTTATTTAAATCAAAGTAACTTAATTGATGTGTAACATAAAATAACAAAAAGTTCTGTTTTCTGATACATGTCAAGTGGCTTTTACAATATTTTAATTCATTCCTTATTTATTTATATCCTGCCTTTATTATTTTTTATAAATAATAATTCAAATATAAGGTTGCAGTTGATTATAACTATTATATTTAAAGGACATAATAAAAAGTTTCCATATGTTTTATCTATTATTAAAGTTAAATTGTAAATTAAAAATATCTGATCATTTCTGCTTTATGACACTAAATTATTACTTGCTTGAAAACTAATTGCCTAGGAGAGGGATATCAACACTCCCTTTATGAAGTTTCAGATTGTTTATAAGCCCTCAAACAATTATTATATGAAAATAATTTAATTAATATTACTTTAACTAATAGTATTATTAATAATAAGAAAACAATAATAGAACAGAACAGATCAGAATAACAGAGTTGGAAGGGACCTTGGAGGTCTTCTAATCTAACCCCCTGCTCAGGCAGGAAACCCTACACCATTTCAGACAAATGGTTGTCCAATCTCTTCTTAAAAACTTCCAGTGTTTGAGCATTCATAACTTCTGGAGATAAGTTGTTCCACTCGTTAATTGTTCTAACTGTCGGGAAATTTCTTCTTAGTTCTAGGTTGCTTCTCTCCTTGATTAGTTTCCATCCGTTGCTTCTTGTTCTGCCCTCAGGTGCTTTGGAAAATAGCTTCACTCCCTCTTCTTTGTGACAATCCCTGAGATATTGGAACACTGCTATCATGTCACCCCTAGTCCTTCTTTTCATTAAATTAGACATACCCAATTCCAGCAACCATTCTTTATATGTTTTAGTCTCCAGTCCCCTAATATTTTTTGTTACTCTTCTCTGCACTCTTTCTAGAGTCTCAAGAACTTTTTTACATTGTAGTGATCAAAAAACTGGATGCAGTATTCCAAGTGTGGCATTATAGAGTGGTATTAACACTTCATGTGATCTTGATTCTATCCCTCTGTTAATGCAGCCTAGAACTGTGATGCCTTTTTTGGCAGCTGCCACACGCTCTTGGTTCATATTTAAGTGATTGTCCACTAGGACTCCAAGATCCCTCTCACAGTTACTACTATTGAGCGAGGTGGCACCTATACTACACCTGTGCATTTGGTTTTTCTTGCCTAAATGTAGAACCTTACTTTTTTCACCATTAAAATTCATTTTGTTAAATAGCACCCAATGTTCAAGTCTGTCAAGATCCTTCTGTATCTTATGCCTATCTTCTGGAGTGTTGGCTATTCCTGCCAGTTTGGTGTCATCTGCAAATTTGATGAGTTCCCCATCTATCCCCTCATCCAAATCACAGCTGTTGAAGAGTACTGGGCCTAAAACAGAGCCTTGGGGTACCCCACTGCATACTTCCCTCCATGTAGATGCATTTCCATTGAGGACTACATGTTGAGTGCAGTTGGTCAGCCAGTTACGAATTCATCTGGTGGTGATGCTGTCTAACCTACATTTTTCTATCTTATCAAGTAGTAGCTTGTGGTCTATTTTATCAAATGCCTTACTGAAGTCCAAGTAAATTATATCCACAGCATTCCTCTGGTTCACTAATTTTGTCACCTTGTCAAAGAATGCTGTAAGATTTGTCTGGCATGATCTGTTTTTAACAAACCCATATTGGCTTTTGGTTATGAAACCAAACAGAAAATAGATAAATGTCACCTTCAGGATTAGGGAATGGTATGGAATTCAACAGAGATCTCAAAAGAATAGTTGAGCCCAGTTGACTTTCCATCATTCACCAACACCCTTTTGAACCTCAACCATCTGTCACCCAGAATTCAGCATTTACCAAAAACACTACAGCATTTGAGAGGTAGGACTTCACCAAACTGCACCAAATTATTGTTTTGGTTTCAAGCTACTGCTAGAATAATGTTTATGTGTTGTAACTACAGACTTGTTTTTCTAGTTTATCTAACCTGTTATTATAGTTCTTTAAAGCAGAAAGTTTGGACTTTATTTCAGATGCTTTTAATTGGCTTAGTAGTATAGGTATTGTTGTAATATGAAGAAAAATGTTTCTCTAAGAGAGAAAAAGTAAATGTCTACAGCATATCTTTTGAATTCAATACATGGATTATATGAGCTATACTAGTAGTATACTAGACTAGTACTCCCACTAGTAGTAGTAGATTAGGAATGAATCAGAATAATATTCCTAGGTCAGCAGAAACAGAAAAAGATGGCAGAAAGTTGATACAAGAATTAGCCGAAGCTCTAAAGTTTGGAGAATGGGGAAGTTAAAGTGTATGTGTGGGTAGACCACCTTCTTCAGATGCTAGTCCTGCCCAAGTGAAGTTTCTTACCATATAAGGAGTCCTAAGTCAGCAAAGGAGGAAAATAGAACACCTTCTTGGAAAGCAGAAGTAGTTGGCTGGGAGTTTCCAAGTTTGGTAGAAGTGCCAGAAGAGGAAGTGAAACTCCAAGGGAAGAAGCAGAGGCTCAAAGTGAAAAACCCTTAAGGGAGTGAGAAATTCCTAACAGAGAAAAGAGGAGTGAAAAGCCATGGTAGACAAACTTGTTTGTGGGGTCTTTGGTGCTGTCTGAGCTTGGTTGTTTTCTTGCAGACATTTCATTTCCCAATAGGTAACATCATCAGTGCATCATCTAAAAGTGATGATGTTACCTATTTACATAATTGTAAGGACTTGCCTCAATTAAGCCTCCCAAGAAAGCAGAACTCTTTTTTTTATTGAAAAGTTTTATACAATTTTTTAATACAATATAATATCCCCCCTACCTCCCCCCCACCTGACCCTCCCCCCCTCAC